TAAGTACGGCCTGTAATGATTACTGGATCTGATCAAGGAAGTCTTATTGGATTTAGCTTTATTTTGTTTCCGATTATCTCTTTCTCTTCAAAAAGTGATTAAACTTTATATTTTCGGTTAATATCTGAATTATTTGGCTGATCTGGTTTCTCATATTTGGATCCGTGGTTACGTGGTTGTTTTCTTGATCTGATTCTCCAACCTTTTTAATTTCTTTAGATCTGTATAAATGGTTTCTCCTTTTCTGTACCTTGATGAGACTATTATTGAGTTTTTGGTATTTATTTAATTGCGAAATTTTACGGCTTTCCAAATGGAATGGATTGAAGAACTGAATTTTGAGCTTTTCTACCTGCTTTCTTTGCGTATCTGATCATATGAAATTTTGATAAGGGCTTTAGGTAAAAAGTTAGTCAAGCATGCTTCTTTCATTCAGCATATAGAGTCTTTAATGTTGCTCGCAACCAAATGAAGGATTAGTATAGTTTCTCTTGTCAATATTCTTTATGCAGCTTGTAGTGAATTTTGGATCACTTGAACTTCACTCGTAGCCATTTTTCAAACAAGTATAAGTTGAAATTCAATCAAAAGACTAAATGCAGTGCACTCCAGTACTTTTAATGGATTGCAATGCAATCTTTACATGGATGGATAATGGAAATATAGTGTTGCTAAACTCCTAAGTTGGACAGGAACTGGTCGGAAGTATTGAACTTGGTTAATTGAGAGATTTGTAATCTGACTAGAAATTTGGTTTTTGCTAATGCAGTTTATAAAAGATGGCTGATGCTGAGGATATCCAGCCTCTTGTCTGTGACAATGGAACTGGAATGGTGAAGGTTAGTTAACTCTCAATTGAATTCTTCTGTTGTTTCTGTTTATTTATGTACTTAGGTATGAAAAATGTGTAATTTAATTGAATTTTAATCTTATATTATCTTGTACAGGCTGGATTTGCTGGAGATGATGCTCCCAGGGCAGTTTTCCCTAGTATTGTGGGCCGTCCTAGACACACAGGTGTCATGGTTGGAATGGGTCAGAAAGATGCTTATGTGGGTGATGAAGCACAATCTAAGAGGGGTATCCTTACCTTGAAATATCCCATTGAGCATGGTATTGTTAGCAACTGGGATGACATGGAGAAGATCTGGCATCACACATTCTACAATGAGCTCCGTGTTGCACCTGAAGAACACCCAGTGCTTCTCACCGAGGCTCCACTTAACCCTAAGGCCAACAGAGAGAAGATGACTCAGATCATGTTTGAGACTTTCAATGTGCCTGCAATGTATGTTGCAATCCAGGCCGTTCTCTCCCTTTATGCCAGTGGTCGTACAACTGGTTCGTTAAAGATGCAATCCAAACCTTAAAGTTCGCATCATCAAGTGCTAGTTTTTTGTTGAATTAGCAATTAATTGGCCTCACTTATGCAGGTATTGTGCTGGACTCTGGTGATGGTGTCTCTCACACTGTTCCAATCTACGAGGGTTATGCTCTTCCACATGCCATCCTCCGTCTTGACCTTGCTGGTCGTGATCTTACGGATGCT